AAAATTGAAAATTGTTAAAATATACGCCACATTCACACAACGAGCCACTTTCTTTTCTATCTGTGTGTATTCTTGGCCTTTTTGCCTGGTTTACTTTTCTGCTTCTCCTGCCCAGCCGCAGGATTTTCTTCTATTTTTTTTTTTTTTTTTTTGGCAGCTCAAACAATGTGCAAGACTCCAATAAATAAGCACAGCGACTTGGACACTGGACAGCGGGCACGGGAAATGCTGCTGTTTGTTTGCCTGAAAATGGTTTTAATTGTTGTTGAATTTTTTTCTTTTTTTCTTGTATTTTATTTCCATTTTTTTTTGTGGCTCCTATATTGGCTCTCGCACATTGTTGACCAAATATAATAAGATAGCCGAAGGCTGGCTGGCTGGCAGCGTGTTTGTTTTGGTTTTTGGCTAAAAGTAAATTAAGTGCCAATGTTAATGGCAGTTATGGCCGGCATCTGGATCAGGATCTGTGCAGACAACAAAGCAGGCCATTTGGATGTCTTAATGCTGCAGTAATAATAGCTAAAAGTGTGTATAGAGCTGTAGATAGTAGCTCAAGATTTATTAGCTACGTCATTGGCCTGAAATGTGTGGTCCAAATAGGGTAAAAATCTAAAATGAATACACTCAGCTATAGTGTAGAGAGAGTTGCCTGAACAATAAGATATAGACAGCTGAGGAAATATCTGAATTTAAATTGAATTAAAATTTTTTTATTTTACTAAAAATACAAATTTATTATTAAATATTATTCATTCTAATTAAAAATGCTCTTAGTTATATGAAAGAATACAAGTTTGTCGTGACAAATGAAAGAGAGAGGGAGACCGAAAGAGTGAGAGAAAGAGTAACTTGGGTTATATAATTATAGATGTTTAAAGAGACATCTCATAGTTATTAAACTTCAGATACATATATATATATATATGTATATATATATAAAATTTTTGTATTTTTATTCCTTCTACATAGGAATCATTTTAACTATATACAAAGATTCAAATAAGACTAGAGAGAGGTAGAGAGAGAGAAGGGAAAGATATAGTTTCATGGATGGAGATATCTGATATGCAAATTAAATTTAAATTCCTATATTTTACTAATTTCAAAAATATTTCATCATAATGAGAAGGCATTGAGGTGCATACAAGAATAAAAGCTGGTCTTGTTATTCAAATTAATTTATTAGCTGATTTACAATGCAATCAAAAACATTGTTGGTAAACTTTTTAAAATGCTACAAGCCAGCCATAATTGGGCGGCTAACCCAAGGCATCTTCATACGACTTCCCCCCAGACAATTCGATTAAAGTTAAGCCAGTGTACAAGGCAAGACGCCAAGTAGCCATAGACGCTGGGCTGTTGAGGTTCCCATGTTCCCAAGCTTAGCTAGCCAGCCACAAATAATATAACAATTTAAATAACAAGCATGGAGCAGGCAAACACCAAACGCGTTAGTTAGATAGATTGATCTACATGTACACGACAACAAACGTGGCCAAGTGGCTCTGGCCCTGACTCCAGCTCCTTGTTGCCTTTATGCTTAGACAGGCTTGCGCTGTGTTTGTGTGTTTACACGGCCCGGTCCTGGAGCAGCACGGCCGATCCAGGCTGTTAGGCTGCCACGCTGGCAGTCTGAAAGACTGCTGGTTACAAAGCAGCCAGCCAGGCCAAGAGCATGTCAAAACAAAATAACATCTTTAGCGCGCAAACATGACAAAACATCAGAATTCCAGCAGATTAACGTCAATTTTAATTGCATTCACTTAGCCAAGGCAGCCCAAGCCCAGACTCGGCTGTCTATGAGAGCCTTAGAATAGAGCCACAGCTCTCAGACAACGGACAGCCAGTTGAAAATATGCATACCTACAAAATAAAGGAAGCCCAAACCAAAGGTGGAAAATGCTGTATTGCAGTTTTCAAAGTTTTCACACCCTACCCTGTCTATTGGAAAATGGTTGCAATAAGGGGATAATAAATTAAACTAGTATTATGCAAGAAATATTATTTCTTAGCCAAGAAACGCATTATTGATTGGCTCTCGATAAAGAGAATAACTTTTAACGGAAAAAAGAAGCTGGGACTGGGACTATTTAACATTATATTAATCAGGAATTTTCAATATCAAAGATGTAGATATAATTAGATACAAATAATTTTAACTATCACTGAAGTAGATAATAGTCGAACAGAACGAGAATTATAAAATTTCTGACTAGTGGGAATTGAGCTGTAAACAAAAGTATAGATATATAAATACTTATATAAAGTAAATATGTTATAAATTCATAAAAAAAAATATTAATAAATAATTTGCGTTAGGAAGGAAATGTGCTCAAGGAAAATGTGCTCAAAATTTAAGCTCAACAATAATGACTGCTCGCTTGCCGCTGTCGCTGTAAATTGGACAGGTGTTTTTCTAAGCGCGGCGAACCTGGCTACAAAGTGATTATACCCTTTGCAAGTGCATAAAAAATCCATACAACAAAAGGGTTTAAAGTCGGCCTGGCCCCATCCAGCTTAAGCTGCAGCAGCAACAGCAGCAGCAGCAACAAGGCAAACAAAGTTCCACAAGGTTGTGATTAACATGCGATAAAAAATGACCAGGCTGCATACTACCCTGGGCAACTGGCACCACACCAGGCCAGACAACTGACTGAAGCTGGACGTGAACCTGGACGCTGTCTGTTCGCTGTTGGCTGCCGGCTGCTGGCTCGGGAGCCAGAGCTGCTTGGTCAGTTGGCTTACGTGTTTGCATTAGCAGAACTGCAACTGCAAGTGCGGGACCCTCGACTTGGCTCGCAGCACTCGGCTACACTCTCGGCCACTCGGCGCGCACAAAAGTTAAGTGTCTGGGCTGTCACATGCGATTTGCACCTGCCGGATGAGCAATGGGCCAAGCGCAGAGTTGTTGGTCCGGGCTCGGTCTTTGCGTGGATTATTTATCATCTGCGCCACATCAGAGCGAGGCTAAGTTTCGTTTTAACCAACAGCCTTCAACAAAAAAAATATACATAAAAAAAACAGCGCATGCAAACGCTCAGATGCACGTTGCCAGATTCTTTTCGTGGACTATAATCAGGCCCAGAATATTCGCGCAAACATTTGCACAGATCCGGCAAACAATGCGGGGCAGCAACTCAAAATTTTTGTTCATAAATTTTAATATTTTAATTTGAGCCAGGCCGATGAACACATAAAACGAGCCATTAAACGACCAAATGGGTATTACTAGTGGGACTTTGTAAACATAAAGGCAAATGCAGTTTCTTGCTAAACTCTGTTCCAGTTTTAGTTCTTGTTCTGGTTGTGTTGCAGCCGGACACCGACGCCATGGCTCTTGGCTTTGCCATTGCCATTGCTGTTGCTGTTGCTGTTTGCCACAACGGGGCTTACATTTCCTGTGAATTCTGTGCTTTGATTTTAGGAAAATTAACAACAGCTCAAACAACCAACCAGTCGAGTCAACATTACGGGCCAAACGAATCAGCGTCATCATCAACAGCAGCAGTAATCCAAACAGCGATAACTTTAGAATTAAACATATCATCACGAATTTTAAATTCTCTTTCAAATTAGACTAATATTAAATCAAAACAATGCTTAACTAAGCTTAATAACTTAAAAAGTTGCATATCAGCTTGAAATTCGAATAACACAACATTTGGTAAAATAATTAATATTATTGTTATTATTTGATCATTCTTTTTTTACTAATATATATATATTATTGTTATAACTATTAGCATTACTATTATATTATCATTCTTAACATTAATACTATTATTATTAAGCTTTCGTCCCCAAACCTAAACAGTAGCTCCAGTAAGTTGCTGGACAAAATAGAAGTTTTAATAGAATACACGACATGTTTGCTTAAGTCGTTGATAGCTTCATAATTAAGTTAGGGTATTTCAACGGCATGCAGTCATTCGTATTGCAGCATGGCATGTTGTTTGCTTCGCTGGTTTCATTTGCCCCTCAGCTCAGACTGTGACTCTACTTCTGGATCTGGCTCTAGCTCAGTCTCTGGCTTGACAACAGACCCCAATGATGCCACTGCCATGGTACGCTGGCTTGGCTTCGGCTTTGGCTACGCTTGTTTGGTTTAGCTTGGCCGCAACGGCTAAACAGGTTAAAATGTCGTTCAAAATGTCAAGTCAACACTTTGATGTTGTCCGTGTCGTCCCGTCCGTGTGCTGCAGTTGAGCGAGCAGCTAAAACCGCTGCCAACGTTGGTCAACAACTTCAGCTTCAGTTTCAGCTGAAGCCGAAGCTTTGTTTGCGTGTGATCTCCACTTTATTTATGCAACATTCAGCACACGACGCAACATGCAACATTGCCAAAATTGTTTAGTGCAGACGTCGTGCTGTCTATGTCGATGTCCATGTCGATGTTGTCGCTGTGAATGTGGCTGTCGCCACTGCCACATCGTCCAATGGCCCAAACATTGTTGTTCTAAAGCTGGCAGAAGTTTTCGGTAATTGCACAAATGCAACAGTAGCGGCCCATGTGAAAATGAGGTCAACAATTAGAAAGGGTTTCGACTGCAGTGAAAGGCAGCCCAAATGTACACAAGTACTTAGATTGAAGGAAGCCCCAAAACAGTTTTGCAAACAAAATGCTCATGGCATTTCCTTGAAATCGATGTACATACAGGAACATTATGCATCGGGGATAAGGTGATATAGAAATTATGAAAAAATATTAACTTTTTGATTTTAACCGAATCGGTTCGTACCCGAAATTTTTAAGAAAAATATTAAGAATGTAGGAAGGAAAAGAAAAAGAAACCATCTGAGCCGAACCAACGTTTTTTAAATAAATAAATAAGCCACTATTAAAAGAGTAAAAACTTTTATGAGCAATTTGAACTTGGTCCCCAACCATTTAATTTACCAAATATGATATATATATATAATATATTATAACCTAATAATATATATAATAATTTTTAGGCAAATAAAAATGAAGTGAATAAAACTGGTGTTTGTTATTGTAAGTTAGCAAAAAGAAGTCTATATATAATTCGTGTGTGACTGCCACAAACATACAATTTATAAAATGATTATCCTTATATTTTTCGAATTGTAAAAGATAGACCACACCTGGGGATTCCGGAATACTTGATTTGAATTCAAAACAGCTTAAGAGTGCGAAATAATTTTCAGTTGGCTAATAGTTTCGATTCTTGCCCAATGCCGGCAATGGCTGCGAATGGCCTATTGAGTTTTGCACCGAATATGTCGGACGCAATATTACAAAGCTGACAATCAAATCATCATTGACAACCATAATGGCGCCCGCATTGTCGAACATGCCGCAGTAGTTGGGTGCTGAGAAGACAGTTACAAGCTGACGACGGGCAAAGAACTCGTAGCCATCCTCGACAACCTGATGGGCACGACAAATAACATCGATGCCCATGCGATAACAGAAGTTCTTAACGACATCAGCACCAAAGGTGACGCTTACACCACGATCATTGCCACTCCAGCCGAGGACCTTTTCATCCGGATCACTCCAGAGTAGGTCGCATACAAGCCCCTGATCTGGTATGTCAATTGGCCGCTTGATGGCCACTATGTCCTGAAAGCTTTTAAGACTGGGACTCAGACCGCCATGGACGCAAAAGATGCGGCCACCCACCAATGCTGCCAGGGGCATACAGTCGTAGGTATCCACAAAGTAGCGCCACAGCTTCACCGAATACCGACGCTTGCACTCATCGTAGAAGCCATAGATGCGATTGATGCTGGCGCACTCATGATTGCCGCGTAGCAGCCAAATCAGTTGCGGATAGCGCACCTTAAAGGCCAGCAGCAGGGTAAACGTCTCAATGGACTGCTTGCCACGGTCCACATAATCGCCCAGGAACAGATATCTGGTGTCCGGCGGATAGCCGGTCGACTGCATAATGCGCAACAGATCCCCAAACTGGCCGTGCACATCCCCGCATATCTTCACCGGCGGCTTGATCTCCAACAGCGATTTCTCTTTCAGAAAGATTGCTCTCGCTTCCGTACACACAAATCGTACATGACTCTCGTGTAGATTAACGCCTCGGCCGGGATTATCACAACTAGCCAGCTGATTGATAATCTTATTGAGATCAACTGTTGGCGGGAGAAAAGTCTGCACATTTTTTACACTCGTACGTGGACGATTGGAGCTTATGGAGCCACTGTTTCGTTGTGCCATATTTTACAACAATTTCAAAATTTAGTTCCGACAAAAAATACATTTACTACTGATTCAATTTAACGAGGCGAAGGGTGGAAGAAACCAGCGAAATATATTTTTAAAGCTGAGATTAACTTCAAAATTAAAGGCGAATTCTTTAGCTAATTCAATGTAAATCAATCAATCAAATTAAATTTTGGAAAATCTTCTAGATCCAAATAAAATCATTTATATTGATCAGAGGATCTATAAGAATTCAATTACAAAACGTTTTCCCATGCCAAAATTGGTCGTCAGCACAGAATGTAAATCTTAATAAAACAAGAGCTCGAATTTGAGAAAACACCTGATGAAAAATAGTACCATCTAAGTATACAAAATAAATAAGTTAAGTTACAGTATTTTTCAAAGTATCGCAAAGATCTAAGGACCCTGCCCATCATAATAATAATAATTAATAATAATAAGAATAATAATAATATAACAATAATAATAATAGTTATAATAATAGTAGTAACAATTATAATAATTATAATTAAATTAAAAATAATATCAAGAATAATAGTAATAATTGTAATAAAAATTAATTCATGTGAAGAATAATTATAATATTTTTATCTACCTTAAAATTATCAAAATAGAAATAGAATTAATATTAAATAATCCTAATAAAATTTTCAGCGCCCCGATTTGGGCGACTAATAACGAAACGCGCCTGGTCTACGGGCAGCACGGGGCCAATGATTGTCAAAATGTTGCCCGAAAGGCTGAACCTGAACTAAAGTTGTTGCAATTCTTAGAATATTTTACGCTTGTTGAAGCTGACGACAACGTTGAAGCCACCGCCAACGAAGAAGACAACAGCGATGTCGATGTCTATGTCGATGGAGCTGGACTGAACGCGCTGCTTGTTACAGAGAGAGCAGAGCTGAGGGCTGGGTTTCGTGTTTTGTTTTCTTTGCACTTCAGTTGTATCACATCAATGGCCATTGTGTACGTCAACTTTGATGTTTCCGCAAAAGTTGTGAAGTGTGAGGTTTTAGACGTTCTTATTGCACTTTGTTGCTGCGTGCTGCGAGCTCCGAACTGCGAGCTGACGGTGGTCAGAGTCGGTGTCGGAATCCAAGAGTCCAAACTACCGCGTTGACAGGTGAAGAATGCCAAAAAGCGTTTCAAGTGCCTCTGTTGCCCGGTTCGGTTGGCCCGACCTGCCGTGTTGGCCACTTCAAAATCAACTCAAGCCTTTTAGACGGAAAGCGCAACGAGAGGCAACACAAACTGAGGGCGGGAAAAATCGACAAGGCAGGAGTTAAAGTCGACTCGAGTCGAGTCTAGTCGAGTCGAGTCTGTTGCTTGATTTCGTATTTATTTTGTTTACACGTTTCCTTTGAATTTTCTGTTCTAATTGAGTGAGAAGTGCGGTGAGCTTGCAGTTTTCCATCACACATCCAGAGAGCTCCATCATCATTATTATCATCAACATCATCTGTTGCTACGTTTTACGCGGCTTTAATTGGATTTTCATACCTGTCCCGAAGCCAGCCGCTATGTTTGATTGGTGTTTGTATAATGAACTTGCAATATTCTCCCAAACAACAGACCACAACTGAACCAGCTGCTCTTATTATTGTTGGACTCGTTCGTATAACCTGGTACAAGGTACCCGTGAAATTTAACACACATCATCGCGTTCGCTCTTCATATTTTATCTTTTATTTTTGCCTCTCTTCCAACGCTAAGAAAATAAAAGTTCTACAGAGCGTATTATTGGTTGATTGTAAGTGACTTTGTTTATTTAATTTATGTTATTATTGCCTGATTAAGTATGGAAAGGCAATGCACGAATGAAAAGGGTTTATGTTATTTCATTAAAAATTGATTAGTGTTAAGGTACACAAAATTGCTGAGCTAAATAACAATGTAATTACGTACACGGCATATAGAAGGAGGAATCTGTGGATCTAAGGAGCTGCGGACCAGGCAAAATGTCAAACAATCGACAGGAAACGTAATTTATAAGTTTAAGACAGATAAAAGGTTCGAATTTTAGTAATTTATGTAAATAATTTAAGTAAATGTAATCCAGTCCTATAATCTTCGAAATAAATATAAAACAATAATAAAATAAATTAAATAATAATAAAATTATTTATAATACATCTTTAAATATCTCTTTTGGTTAAGGAAAGAGACTTAAATAACGTTTTATTTAAATAATATTTAATATAAATACAATAATTTTAATTATATATATTTAAAAAAAATGTATCAAGTATATTAATTATAAATTAAAATCATTATTTATTTGCCAAATATTTTTAATAAATATACAGCTAGTTAGTCTCTAGTTATCCCCAATCGTTGAAATATGTCCCAGTTTTTATTATACATTTTTTTTTTACTAATTGTAAGCTCGAAGCTTCTTACACCAATAAAAAAGTTCTAAGGCAAATTTACGTCTAATTAACAGCTCAGCAAAAGTTGTGGCATGCCAAAATACATATATAGATATAAGCATACATACGTGCACATACGAGCTCCCTCTTTGTGTAGCCCTTATGCCAACTGCACCATCTAATTGCAATAAAAAATAGTTAAATAAAACACACACACACAGCGTAATAAACACGCTGCCTGTTGGCCATTTTTACGAGCCAAATAAAGCAAACTGTAACAAAATTCATCATATCTGGAGCATGGAGGCTCCTAATGAGCAGCTCTTGGCTAAGGAACTGCAACGGTTTTTAATGATCTCATAAAAATGTGCCAAGTGGGCCGGGCAACAACGGCGGCGTTTATGATGGCAAAGAATAAGAAAAAAGAGAAAAAAAATGGAAAATTAAATGGCCGCAATAATTAAAATACCTGTTTTAATTAGATAGAAATGCATGTACACACAGGCACACACATACACACGCTTTTTGGGGGTTTTCCATGAGAATAAAAAACTGAACTCGGCCAGCGACAAGCGAAGATATGTTGAAAGTTCCTTTGGGTGTTAAACTGCAGACACAATTAATGACTTGTCGGCGGCTTCAAAGTTGTGTGTGTGTGTTTGTGTGCCTGCCACAACTTAATCATAGCTGGGAAGTTCTCGAGCAGCTGGAAGTTTCATTTTCTTAGAAAAGTTGCCATAGCGATTACCGATTTACCGCAATTGGGTTTTCCGTATAATGCTGTTATTGTGGGCTGTGCCCTTTGACTGCAACCACAAATATGCCAAAACATGATCATCAGCATTTGTCATTTGAATGTCTTGAGAGACACACACACACAGAGCACACACCCCTAATCCTTTGGGCTTGACTTGAGCTGTGGGTCCGCCTTTTGCTTACCTGTCAATGTCTAACAATGAGCATTGCATTCCATACACACATACATATATACATATATGTATTTACTTTTTTATTTTCTTCAAGTTGTTGTCTGGTTCGCCTGCTGCCGGCTTCTACTTCAAATGAAGTGCATTCATCCGGTGGCAATCCTTTTTTTCTCTTTTTTCTTTCTGTGCATCATTTCACTTGAATTTGCGTTGACATCCTGCAGACGAATGGCTCGTTCTGTTCTGTTGTGTATCCTGTTGTTGTCTATGTCTATATATAACGAGCATCGCTGACATATCCTTTAACCATGATTAAAAACGTAAAGTAAATGAAAATTGTTTTGTGCTTACGCCTCTTAGCACACCTTGAAAACAACAACAACGGGTCCCTACACAACAGCAACAACAACAATAGGAGGAGCAAGAGCACAGAGAGAACTGCACTGAACTTGAGCTCGAAAGGAGTTTCAGAGCGCAATAGGACAATAGACAACTGCCTTCCTGTAGGCTTCTTTTCCACTCATTCAACGCGTTTCCACATGCACTTAAAATTCTACAGATTTTCCCACTTAGTGATAAAGTTGCCGTTGAATTGCCCGCCAGTTGCCTATTGTCTCTAGGACACCGACTTCCAGAGACTCAGCCCCCCCTTCGTAATAAGCCCCAACACAAATGGTTGGGCAGGAGGGAGGGACTTGTGATTTCATGCTTAAATGGAGTCGTTAAATTATTTTCTGAAATTGAGTCGAGCGTTTGTTGTTGTCCTGGTGTGTGTGTGTGTGTGCTTGTATGTGTTTGTCTGCCATATGTGTGCGTGTGGCATTGGCATTGGCATTGGAGCTCCACTTTACTTAGAAGCCGGGCACGTCGTGTTGTAAACGGAAGTACTTACTTCCCACTCCCTGCCACAAAGTCACTCGCAGGCATTAAATTAAAATATGTTGCGTTACGTTTTTTCTTGTTTTTTTTTTTTAGCTGTTCTTTAATTAAAACCAAAATGTTACTGTCCGCGTTTGGAATTTTTTTTTTTTGTGTGTGGCGCGGGGCGTTTAAATGCATTTTGTATGTGATTTCACGGTTTTATGGCAGACACTTTCTTGCCTGAAGCTAATGGCGTTCATGATGTACAAAACACGCGCAGACTTGAACTTGACATTGGATAAGATTTCGTGGTGGTCTTATTTTCTTTTTTATTGGTATTCCAAGGAGCTTCGACAGCAAACGTGTGTCGTTTAATGTCACATTAATAGAAAACGAATTTTTTTATTTCATTTTTAATTGCATAAAGGTGATAAACAGCTTAACACCTTTGCAAATCCCTCAAGTTAAAAACAAAATAATATAAAAAACAGCCTTTTATCGAGATCGACCTAAGGCAATTCCCATAATTCTGCTCTTCCAGTTATATCTCATACTAAGACACTTTATTTAATTAAGTAAGTTCGTAACCCATTTGAATACTTTGCTCTGTTCGATTGTTTTCCTTTGAGTTAAAACGCATTCTCAATCCTTTCTCTGCTTATCTGGGTCAAATTTTTTGCATATCTACACGATACTTCAATTTTCTTTAACAACGCTTTCAACTTTAAGCTCCACATGGTCCAAAAAAAAACACATATATATAGAACAAGGTCAGCTGTTAACCAGACCAGAGCAGAACTAGCCCGACAGACCGGCTGAGAGCAGAGCGCACCAGGCCAAGCCCAAGTCCAATATGGTCAATATATCACATGACGCCTACAATTTAA